CGGCGGCTCTGTCGGCTTACCTTCGCGGTTGGATGCTTTTCTTTGATCAACCTGTAGAAAACAGAATGGTGATTATAATGGTAAAAAATGTAGCGCCCGGAAAGGGGCCGAAAAAAAAAAAAAAAAAAAAGCCACGTCGGCAGCCACATCAGCAGGCCCGGTCAGCAGTCCCGGCCAACCGGGACCTGCCACGTGGCAAGACCACGTTGTTCCAGAACGGGCCACGTTGGCGATCCGCGTAGGCGCGATCGGACGGCCCAGATCAAGCGTGCTATCGGACGGCACAGATTCAATCAAAAACGGACGGCCCAGATTAAAACAAAATGGACGGCTGAGATCAAAAGGCAAAGGGTTATAAATAGAACCCCCACACCAGACCACAAACCCTAGCCACCTGCCGCTCGCCGGAGAAGACGAACCAGAAGCCGGACGCCGCCACCTGCCGCCGCACCGGGGAAATTTCCGACCGCCGATCGAAATAAATTCGTACCCCCGACTCGTTTTTCCACGCTGATTCCTCCTGTGGCCAAATCGGAGCCAAAATCCCGGCCAAAAGGCCGGAATAGACGGCCGAAGCCCAGCGGCGCCGCCGCGCCCCTTCTCGATTTTTGCCTCCGATGAGGCCCTTCCCGGCCTCCGTTTGATGCAATTTTTATATCACCGTGATCACCATTCTTTTCTCTACAGGTTGACCGGAGCCGAATCACCAAAACACGAACCTCGCCGGAGAGCCGCCGCACCCGAGAGCGCCGCCGTCGGTAAGCTCCGTTTTTCTATGATTTTTTGGCCCCCCGAGGGCCCTAGGGTTGTTTTCTCACAGGGACCGATGCGAGTGTGGCCGAAAACAGCCAACCCGAGGCGAATCGCCGCTGCTAGCGGCGGTGCCGTCGCCGGAGCACGGCGGAGCCGCCGTGCCGGAGTTGCGATATTGGCCGAAAGGGGCCCTGGGCCTAATTTGGGATTTTTTGGAACACGTGCAGGTACCAGTAGTGCGTTTCAGTTCCCCAAAAAAAATTCAGAAAAAATTAGGGACAGCCTGAAGGCGCACTGTGAAGCCGTGTTCGGACCCCGAAACGTGTAAGGACCCCTCACCTTATTTCCTATCACGGTTTTAAAGTTCAATAAATGATAAAACGGTATTTCATGAATCAACGAATGTGTGAAATTGCTTAAGGTCGCTAATGGAGCCCAAGTCTAGTGTATTTGTCGGTTAACTGTTATTTGGCCTGTTTTACAGTTTTAAATGCAGCATGAGGTTCGATGTTTTCATTTTATAGTTTCGTGTGCATATTTTACTGTTTTATTGATTATGGATTAAATGACCGGGATATTGATGCTGTATGTTGTCTGTTTAGCATAAATTACTGTTTGCTTGCTTGTATGTGGATTAATGATGCTGACTGAGGAAAAAGAGAATGAAAAATTATGTAAATGGGTAATGGTATAATGTGGTCAGCCTGACTAGATATCCTGGGTATGGTGGACGGACCGGGTCCGTAGGGAACCCTACCGGGATTGTGGTCTCCCATACCGGACGGGGTATGGAGATCTTATGTGTTTTGGCGCCCATACCGGACGGGGTATGGGGACGGCCCGTTTCACCCTCATACCGGACGGGGTAATGAGGTCTATGTTTTGGCGCCCATACCGGACGGGGTATGGGGACGGCCCGTTTCACCCTCATACCGGACGGGGTAATGAGGTCTATGGTTTAGCGCCTATACCGGACGGGGTATGGGGACGACCCTGGAATGGATTTCAAGTGTTAAGGATTAACGGGTAGCAGGACCCCTATGGATCCCCATGGATACTAGTGGGCTGGTGAATCAGAAAAATATGTTGTGTAACGATTGAATTACGAAAAGTTTTATAGGTATTATGTTATACAGTTCATATATATGTTTTCATGATGATGATGATGTTATTGCTTTCGGATATTGTTTTATGAATTTCACCGAGGTAAGTGAATGGTAAAGGTTTTATTATTAATAAAAGGATTTGTTGTAAATTATGCTCCATTGGTCTTTTTGTGTTTTCTACCCACCTTTACCTCCGTGACGGTGAGATATCGTGATATCTTTACTGGGCTGTGTAGCTCATTCCTTATTTAATCATTTCAGATCAAGAGGACATCGTTCCCGAGCCGGTTCCGCAGGAGGACGACGAAGGGGACGCCTAAAGACTCCCTAGTCACATTCATAGTTTTTTACTTTCAAGTTTCTCCTTTAGGTAGTTTAATCTTTTATATTTTGTGAACACGTTTTTGGTTTTAGTGTAAGGGATGTTATTCAAATTTTGACTTCGCTTCCGCATTTGATATTTATAATATAATTTCCATTTTAAATTTCCGGGGCTGCTACAAAAAAATTGTACGAAACGGGAATCAGGAAGGAGCTCATCGATGGCAATTTTTAGTTTTTCCCGCGGCGCCTCCGCAAGGCTTTACCTGCAGTTTTCAGCTTATCCGCCGATCATTTTGCTCTGATTTAGCCATGGGGGTAATCAAAATCAAATTTCGAGTGAATGAAATTTTTTTTACCTTTTTTGGTGGTCAGAGGTGGCTCCGGCACAACGACTGGCTGTGGTCGGCTCCCTTCTCCGGTGACTGGTTCTTATTTTTCGGCGAGGGGGTTGGTGGCTAGAGTTGGAGTTCGGTGTGAAATGATATATTTATATCTGTTTTCCTTTAATCTGGACTATTTATTGCGTTTAATCTCGACCGTCCGATCGTGTTTAAAGAGGAAATAAATGTGAACCGTTCATTGCGATTTTATCTAAACCGTACGATCGCGTTTAAAAGAAAACGAATCTGAACCGTTCATCACGTTTAATCGCGACCGTCCGATCGCGCCCTTCCACTTGTGCGGAAATAAATCCGAACCATCCGATCGCAGACACGCAGATTGTTAACGTGACCTCACGTGTGACACTGCGCCAGCGTGCCTTACCATGCGGTACGGTCTGCTTTGTCGGGGCTGCTAACTGGGTGGTCTTACCTGATACATTTTTTCTAAATTACGTTTTGACCTCTAATTTTTTATTTTTCTTTCAAAAACACCACAATAGCCCAAATTTTCACACAGTTTTTCTAAAATTGTTTTCAATTTCATTCTCAACCTATTTTTTCCTAGTTTTTACATTAAATAAAAATTTATAAATTTAAAAATTATATTTTATACATTAATTTAAAATTTTTAAAATTAATTCCGAGTATTGCATGATGAGTATAGTTGTCTTGCAAATTGGATTTTTAAGAATATAAAAATTGTATTAGTTTTATCAAACCTACATGAATGTGTATTTGCATATCTATGCTTTGAACACCACTTTATTTTTACTGAGTACGTGAAACTCACACATCCCATCAGTGCAGATTAGTTCAGGTCAGTAGGGAGTTCAAGATCAAAAAAAGACTTCGAAAAATCCTTTAGCTACCTTGAATGTTTATTGTAAACCAGATCTGAATGTATTATTATGATGTAATTTCAAAATATTGTTGTGAGCCTCATGAATTACGACTCCGTACACAGGATATATTGTTGATTTATAAAGATCAACATAATGTTGTGTAAAAGTTTATCAGGTTCACATGTGAAATGACGCTAATTCATCTCCAGAAAAATCAAGTCGTTACAGATTTAATTTAATTTTATTAGTATTACAACTTTATTAATATATTAATAAATTAAGTTTTCATTTTTTATTAAATTAAACGTCACTGTTAATCCATAATACACTTGTAAAATAACAAATTCTACATTATCATAGTATCTAACATTATAGAATAAAATTTAATTTGAACATATATTAACTTTATATTAGTAAGTTAAATTTTTATTTTTATTAAATTAAATATTATACGTCGGTCACTGTCAATTCATAATATATTTACAAAATAATAAATTTTATGCGGTCATAGATGTATAAAATAATTGCGCTTGTAATTATCCAAAACAGCATTGGTATAAATATATACATACATATATTTAAGAAAAGAAAGACATCAATGGCATGATAAGTACGCATATATTTATATAATATTGACCTTTTCATGCAGTGTTTGCTTGAGAAAAACGCCCTGTCCGGCCCCAGTTCAGAAGCGTGTGCAAACTGAAAACACACACACAACGCAATTGACCATCCCCTGTTTTCAATTTTCAACTGCTGGTTTTCCCTTTCTCCCCTGCTTCCCACCTGCATATACATTCATATATCCACACACACACACACATATATATATATATATATAGACACACATATGGACATATACAAAAACAAAAAGCCCCATAAAAATACCTGCTGGTCTTGGCTCTCTAATGGTACTCTTGGTAGATAAGTTTACAAAACTCTATACCAAACTGGAGAATCATTACCACCATCATCACCATCACCATCACGATGATCATCAACGATTAGATGAAGCCTTATCAGGTTTTCGGTCTGATATTCTGTTTTCCCTCAACCAGTTTCTGGAAAATTGGAATCCGATTGGATCAGAGAATCTCACCCTGCCATGGATTCAGCAAGCTCTAGAGCTCATACCCAGTGTCAACCAGGCTTTTGCAAAGCTGGCTGTGGATATAGACTATCCCATGAGAAAATGGGAGGCACCTTCTGTTGAGAATTATCTCGACAATACCTTCCACATCTTAAATCTTCTCAATTCTATAAGTTCAGCACTTTCTCAGCTCGGTCAAGTTCGCCTTTCGCTGTCTCATGCTCTCAGCCTGCTTGAGAATTCGCCTTCTCTGGCACTCCATCATCTCAAAGTGAAGAATTCAGTATCAGCCAAGGATTTTCACAAGCCAGAGAATACTAACAAGGCAAGCAGTGAAGAAATATCAGTATCATTGTCCGGGAAAGAGAGAATTATCCATCAAGCTCTGGTTGAAATCAAGAGTATAGGCTTTTGGGTTTGCGGTATTCTACTGTCTGGTTTGCATGGAGAAGCTATACCATACTTGGAGATCAGAAAACTGGCAGACGGGTCCGCTAATTCATCAGTGAATGGATTGGATTCATGGGTTACCCAGCTCGTTTCGGGTAAAGGGTTTGTGTTGGAGGATGTGAAAGGTCTGAATTATGCTGTGGCTTCCCTTGCGGCAGCCATAACCAATGGAGAACAACAGAGTGATGCAGCTGAGGAATTGAGGAGGAAACTGAAGGTGTTTGGGAAGGCTTTGGAGGATTTAGGAACAGGAGTGGATTACATATTTTCCTCAACATTAACCAGAAGAAATCAGCTACTCGATACTGTCCGAAAACAGAATCAACCATGGCGACAGGAGCAGAAAATATTTAATCAAACAAAAAAATTGTATTTTTAGATTCCTAGTCTGTACATAGATTGATTTGAATTTGATCATTAACTAAAATTTATCAATCAGAAAATAGTAATAAAAGCATCAGTATTACACCGCTCAAAATCATAGCCTTTACCTGTTACTTGTGCTGGGATCTAAGAAAGGATCCCTCGGATATTGTAGGAGCTTGCTTAAAACTCAAGCAAATAAGAACTAGTACTAAACAAGTTTCAATTCAAAAAACCCATAAAATTGAACTAGGAAAAAGAAAGGAGAGACTCAGATAATTCAACATCATTCATTTTGATACAACCAAAAGGGGAAAGGAAAATTTAAAAACCTATTCTTTGGAATATCCAGAAAGTTCTTCCAAGAAGCTGAAAAGACTAAAAACTTCCTTTTTTTTCCTTCCTCTACATCATCCTAAGAAAAGAAACATCTGTACCAAAGGTTTCTCTTTCTATTTCAGTCATATTGATGCTTGGCTATGGACTACGGACTACATTTTTCTATACTATTTTCTCACTGCTTTGTTGTACCTATCAAAGGAAAACTAGAAACTTTTCGAACAAAACGATCACAGCAGGACTTGAAGTCACTTGGCATGGCTTTGGCTCTCGGGTGCCTTCCTCTTGCGAGAAACATCACTTGGTAACCTGAGAAATACAAGAGTACATTTTCAGATTTTCCTTTCCTAACTCATGGATATGAATTTAGAATATAAAAACTAAAACATGCTTTTATGTGTCAGACGGACTTTTCTAGATTGAGGAGAACTTTGGCTTAGAACTTTCAAGAAAAAAACTATTCCACAATCAATGTGTTGCTACTTTTGTACTATAAGCAGTTATCCAGAAGTCACGTTAATTAGCAAACCCAGTTACAGTTGACTTGAAAAAGATCGTTTAATACGAGAAAATTTGCATACCCTAAATACAAGGTGGTGTCTGAATCACCCTTTTCCACAGCACAGTTGCAAGTAACATCAGAGGTTGTGACTGCATTGTTTCCAACAGAATTTTTCTTTGCAGCTGGATAGTACTCAAAGTAGGATGGGACAGGATTGTTGTTCGTTGGGAGAAAGGCTCGGAGCTCCTGAACCTACAATACGAGTAAGACACTGTAAATATGATATATCATCAAACCCAATATGGGAATTCATCTATGTTGGAAATGTAAATTATGCCTGTCTGCGCAGAGTTTCATTCTCCAGCAACGCTCGCTGTTCCTGAGAAAAGAAATCAAACAGAGTAATCACAAAGGAAACAAGATAGATATATATAAATAAATGGCATACATAGGCACCCATATTTGTTGTGAGATCTAATGTACCTGAAGTCTTGATTGCTCTAGTTGCTCCAGTAACACTTGCTCCTGAAGCAGTAGAGTTTTCGTAAAGCCTCTTAAACTTAGTACTAGATACTATAACCAAATCAGAGAGGGAGCAACAGATTTCAGTACCTTCCTCTCCTTCACTGATGATAAACCATCACTTAATTGCTGTTCCAGTTGTTGTAGCTCTTTCAAGCAAACGCCATTCAAGTCCTTACCCAGCAGCTGCCTGTAGAACATAAGAAAATTGTAAATTGTAACAAAGTTGTGTCAGTAAACAAAAATATAATAGCTGAATGGCAGAAAAATCTATGGAATACATACAACTGTTTCAGCTGTAGTTTTGCAATTTCCTCCTGCAGAGCATCCACCTCTTTTGAGTGTTGTTTCTGGGAAAGTAACAAGTTTTCGAATTCATAAGTGCCATGTGTAAGTTCACAGATCACCATTGGAAAGTTAAAAATTTACAAGAAACTTTCAAATGGATCATAGTTTTGCCTCAGAGTAGAAAAAATTAGTTTATAGTATCCTAGTAGAAAACATCAGCTACATGGGATTCATGTAGAGGTTGCTGTCCGTTCATATAGAAATGTTTTAAGAAAACTGAGGGAAGTATGGATTGTAGTTAAATGTAAACAGGGCAAAAATCATTCGGATAGCCAATTTTTGTTTACACAAAAAAAAAAGATATAGAAATGTTTTAAGAAAATTGAGGGAAGTATGGATTTTAGTTAAATGTAAACAGGGCAAAAATCATTCGGATAGCCAATTTTTGTTTACATAAAAAAAAAAGATAGATCTACCTGAATGTTTCAAAAGACTTCCCATTGTTTTTTCTCCAAAATCCATGCCACTTGTGACCCAGAGAGAGATGAAAACAAAAACTAAAGAATACGAGCGAACAATAACATATTGTGCTAATCATACATGAAAAGAAAAATGATATTGAAATTTGTTCATCCAAAATCTGCACATAAAACAAGAGAATACCAGTTTTAACTGACATCGGCAGGGAAGTACCTCTGCCCTATATTCGGAAGCAGCCTCCTCTGGAGAAAGATTGCATTTGTTGTATCTAGACAAAGTTCTCTTCATGCTGAACAGATCAGAGGAAATGAAATTAAGTCATGAAAATTTCTTTTCGAGATGAAGAAAGAAAAGAAGATATGGTTTACGATTGCTTATTGCCTGTGAATACTTAGACTAATAAACATCTCTTATTCTAATGAACCCAGAGGAATCATAATATGAATTAGACTACTGAAGAAAATCTTCAGGCTGGTCTCTGCATGCAGAATGGGTCGATTATAAGGAAAGCAGCCTACAAATTAACACGACCCCGGAAAGGCCGTTAAATTCTGAACAAAACCAAGGCCCTGAATCTATTTTATATTCAACAACCAGAATCCTTGTTCTGTGTTGAAACTACAAAAGAAAAATATTGCATGAAGCTTTATGATCAGAGAAGTTTTCTGATTTGTATAACTTGATAAATTTGAGGATATTGTGGAGGTAACATTAAAGATAACCAAGCAATTGATTAGCTAGAGTTCTTAAAAAGATAATAATCAGCCTACATCGGTCTACAACACGAATATACTTCTTCCTTCAAACTAATATTGATTTGAGCCTTGTTACGAAACTGATCAGAACTTCACGATTTCAAGATTATGCGAAAGAACATAAGAAGAAAAGCCACCATGCCATGATCTCTTTAGCAAAGAAATTAACATAGCAAAATCAGCTAGCGAATCCTTAGAAAGACCAAAAGAAAAAAGAAGACATTTTAGGAAGTTAAAGCAACAAAGGGAACCAAATGCTGTAATTTGAAAAAATCAACTGGTTCATAGAAATCACCTTGAAGCCATATTTCCTAGATGCAAGAAAAACTTGAGGTATTGTCTTACAATTGAATCAATTTAATTTATAAAACCAAGAGTTAAGCATTTATTAATCCATAACGTTACTTCATAATTTTTTAGAGCCACTGCTGGATGCCAATGAAAAAACTGGCGGGCGCCACTTGATGACAAAATTCAAAATTTTAACTTATTAATATTTTCCAAAACGGACCAGTCACGTTTTTACTGCCATTAATCCTGCAGGTGCTGGAACGATTAGCACGAGGGAACGTTAAACCAAACCTAACCCGAAAAAGTCGCAATGGGACAAAAGAGGATGAGGACGGTTTCACTTGCTGCCAGCATAACATACATTTCAAATTTCTAAGTTTGAACTGAAACGCATAAACCGGAATTATTGAGATAAGAATCTGAATGTAGACAATTCTAGAAAAATTAATTAGAAACAATTATGAGCTAAACAGAACCATCATTACACACACTCCATTTCCAGCTCATAAACTGAGGTTCTAATAAATCAAGTGAACAAACACAGAGCACCAATGAACTGAGCTGAACTGAACTGATGATAAAACCAAAAAGAAAAAAGCTGTTTGCAACATAGAATTCATAAAATTTTGACAGAGAAAACCAGTTTTTAAGTCAAATAAGGACAAGAAGCAAAGGTTCTTACCATAATCACCACTACCACCATCATCATATACTTCATATAATAAAGAAACAAAAATTGCAACCCAAGAACAATTTCAAAATTCTGCATGATCATGACCATGACTTCAACAAGTTGGTGTAAGAAAGCTAATATAAACACAAGAAATCCCCAAAATGAAAGACAAACATAATAGCACATGTATAATTCAAAACCACATATATGATAAAATATAAAAACAAAAACAACAAGAATAGAAGTTTGGAAAAAATAATAATAATAAGAAAGAGTGAAAAAGAGGAGGTAAAAGGAGAATTTTCCAGAAAAGCCAAAGGAGGTGATAAAAGGTATGACAGAAGCAAACATGCAAAGGGTGGCAAGAGAAAATCCCCAAACCCCGTAAATTCCCAGGATTACTTGTTTCTTGAGATTAAAAAAGAAATCATATAACATATTTTCTGTATCAAAAATCTCTTGTAAAATTTTCTTTTTACAGAGAAAAAATTACAGAAAGTAATAAACAAAGAAGAAAGGGGGCCAGAAGAAGACCCACACACAAGAAAAGTTGACTCAGGCAAAAAAAAAAAAAGAAAAAAAAACAATCAACCCAGATAACCAAAAAAGAAAAAACGAGAACATGCAATGCAATGGAATGCAATCAAATTAAGAAAATTGGCAGCATACCCATTACTGGAATACTCAAAAAGCTTGCCGGTACTTGAGAAAATGATAACAGCAACCTCAGCATCACAAAGAACAGCAAGTTCCTTCGACTTTTTGAGCAAACCAGCACGTCTTTTTGAGAATGTAACTTGCCTGCTATTGGCATTCTCGATCCTCTTAATCTCAATTTTACCTCTACCCATTTGGATGAAAATGCAGAAGAACAAGAATAACAAGAAGGAGGGAGTGTTGAAGAATGAAAGAAGAAGAAGGAGAAGAAGAAGAAGGGTTTTAAAGAAAAGGAAGAAGAAGAAGAAGAAGAGACATTTGGCTAAAAACAGAGGATTATGATTGTTTGATAAGAAAAATGTGCTTTATTTGGGAATCTATAGTTGGAAAAGGGGAAGGTGAGGATGGCTAAATAAGGAAGACTAAGGAGTAGGAAGGAAGAGACAGAAGAAGCGTTTCTGTTGTTGTTTTCTTTTTCTTTTCCTTTTAGTTTTTCAAAAGAGGAAACGGCTTTTACTTTCCTTTTTTTGATTTCTATTTATTTCGGGTCTTGCATTTGCATGGCTCTGTCTCTGTTTTCTTCTATTTTAGACCTTCATCCATCCATTTCCACTTCTTCCTCTTCCTCTTCCTTTTCCTCTCTTAGTTTTTACAAGACACACAACAGTCTTCTCCCTCTCCCGTCCCTGGGACCCACACCCACAATTTATTTTATTTTATTTTTTAATTAAAAAAATAATTTATTTCCATTGTGGATCCCATTTCTTTTTTATAATAATTAATATTTTTTTGACTTTTATATTTAAAAAATAAATCGAACTCTTCATGTATAAAAAATTATATTATAATTAATGTATATGTATTATCAGTTTTCGAATTTATTTTGTACAGGACTTACTTTTTTTGTTTTTAATTTCACTTTTTTTAAGAAAAAAATTGAGGTTTTTCTAATTAAAAAAAGAAAGAAATGAGAAAATTGGATTTTCTTGAAATAAAAATAGTTGTTTTACTACCAAATTTAGATTCAGTGGTAATATTTTGGAGTATTTCCAGCTAGAAATGGGAATTTTTTTTTTTTTTTATTTGTTTGAGATAATTTTGTCTTTTTCTTCATTTTATAATTTCTTTTTTTTTTTTAGAAAAAAACCTTTTTTCTTAATTATAAAAAAATCAGATTTAGTGAGGTATTGGTTAAGGATTTTTTTAAGATTTTGGTATTCTCTTTTTAATTTAATGAGTAGATTTAGTTATGTTTTCTAAGGATTTCATTTTATTTTTATTTATAAAATTTTCTAGAAATAGTTATTATTGTTGCATAATGATAAGTAATTAATGGGTTTTTTTTTTTTTTTTTTTTTTTACTTTTTAAAATTTTTTAATAAATAAATTACCTGTGAAGAAAGACTTCAACTTCTTTTTGTTTTTTTATTATCTTTTTTGAGAAATGAAGACTTCAACTTTAAGGCTGCAGCATTTACCAAATTTAGAAATGCCAATGAGGTTTAAAAAAGTTATCTTTTTCTGGGTTTACAGTTTTTTTCTAATGATTTTTTACCAGATTTAGTAAATATTATGGTCAATTTTTAGTAAAGTTGGATTAAGTACTTCCATTTTTTATTTTTTAACTATTTACCCTTTTTGGGTCTGGTTTGGTAGGCCAATTTTAACTTGTATTTGGAACAAAATTTTTTGGAAGTTGAGATTTTTAAGTTTTTATTTTCAGAAGTTGAAAATTTTGTAGGTGATGTTAAGGAGAAAATCTTTAGAAGTTATTTTGCTTAAAATAAAATAACTTCCTAATTATATATATATATACACACACACACACACACACACATATGTATGCACAGGAACACACAGCAACACAAGCAAACATATATACACACACATACATGGATGAATAATCCCTTAATGGTATGAATAATCCCTTCACTTCTCTCTTCCAGTGTGTGAATTCAAATTCTGTATACTGTAAACTTATTGTCATATACGGATGAAAATATATGTATATACACAGACAAAACATATGTGAAAAAACAACTTTCTGACACAAACAAGAAGATTTACGAGACTAGAAATACTGCTGCCGATGTTGTGTCAACTCGAATAAAGCACCAGTTATTCGATATTAAGACTAAAAGTCAAAATTGCAGTTCTATGATACAAATAACATGGTTTCCTTATTTGTGTATTTTACAAAAGCCCAAATGCTAACTAAACAATGGAGTTGCTAATACAAATTCTGATGGCACCTAATTCCCTAATCCTGGTTGTACAAGCAGCAATCATCATACAAATAGGTTACGCTGGATGCTTAAGCCGGTTAACTTGTTTAACTGCTTGTCGGGTATTTGTTCCTATAGAATATCAGTTGTCAACGGGTATTAAGTTAGATTACAACGCTCCAACCCATCCATCTTTTCACAAACGTAAATGAAGTGAGAATCTGGATCTTCCAAAACAAAATCAACTGGAAGTAAGCCATCTTTCGTGACGGGAACAGGTTCCAAATATGATTTTGTTGTTGAACTGGAATTCACCGATGTTTCAAATCCAGGTCTGGCTGCAAAATTAAAAAGAGAAAAGAAAAGGATAGTGAAAGAATAATTATGTTTCATGTCATTCATAGAGCAAAAATCAAACAAAAAGTATACACAAATGTAGAATCAAACTCAAGTTTACAGTATGTTTTATGCTAAAACATATTATAAAGAATTTATTTGTTATTTGGACTGGGTTTAAAAATAGAGCCCTTTCTAGAATGCCCCAAGAATATAGGTGTAGGACTTTGTGCTCTATAACATCATTTAGAGAATTTCAGCCAAAAGTATTCATTAAACTCAGAGCCACAAAAGGAAACAGATGGTTATATCTCTAGAGAAAAACCGGTTCGACAGTCTGGTGTATTGCCATGGGACCCACGAGAAGCACAAGCCAGAGGCAGACTCAACTTTGACTCCAGATTGCAACCAGAAGCAAAGTCGACCTCAATTTTGCAACCCAGAAGCAAGATCAACTGCCATGCAACTGCAAAACCAGTATCTAACTAGGATTCAAGTATTCTAGTGGGAAGTGCTTTTTTGAAATACAAAGAAAGTGTTTATTTTTATCTAGTTCCTTGTTGGTTAGTACCACGCGGGTCTGGGATTAGGCTGTTTTTGGAATTCAACAGGAACATCATTTGGATCCGAGGTTGTAGGAGCTGTGACTCCCTATAAATATCTAATACTTCAATGAACAAAACCATATCATAGTTCAATCTAACATTAGTTTCTGTCTACAGGGTCATGGGGGGGTTCTCCCTGACAAGCCCAACCATAGTCCATCAAGGCTGTAAGTTAGGTATACAAGCTTCAGGATTGCTGCAAAACTTCACTATTAGTGTACCTGTGAAACAATCGCGTGCATGAGATAGTAAAAAAGTGTTAGAGGAGCAGGAGATCGTGGGAGATTTTTTAGAAGTTCTAATTCAAGGTCTTCCTCAAAATATATCAGGAGGATTTTGAATAGGCAGAGAAATGAGAAAGAACTAACAGCTTGGGATCAATGCTCTGTCCAGGGAGCTTTCGGCTAATTAGAAATACATATTGGTTGTCTCAATTAAAATTTTCTGACATAAATGAAAAGCTTCAAAGTACAAAGGGAACAATTTTTTAAAAAGGGGAACTTTTCTATCAAATTACTTTTTTTAGATGTTAATCTGCAATACATATTTTATTACCTTCTCTATGTTTAGAAGAAAATTCAAGACCAGAAAACCTGATCTTACTTGTGAACAGAGGATAAGATAAAAGAGGCATGCACAATCAATATAACAAGTTATACAAATAACTAGAGAGACGAAACGAAGAGAAAATCTAATATTTGAACGATCAAGATTCATGCAGGTAGAGGAAAAAAGGGAGTTCACTGGGTAGAGGGAGAACTAGCAACTACGATGAAGTAAAATATTTCAGAAGACAATATGGATTAAACATCACAGAGACAGGCATAATGAGGGTAAATAAAACCAAGAATATGCAATTTCAAGATTAGCCTTCTACCAAAATAGCAAGCCAAATTCCATTTAAAACCACCAATTTATGTCCATGTCAAATAAAAAATGAAATAGCAAAGAGTACCAACAGGAAATATTCCAATAATGCAATCCAGGTTCTTATACCATTCTCAGTATTCTGGCAGTCACGAACCATAAGCCAGTATGCTAATTATGAGTATCGGACCACAGACTTATTGGACATAGTCACGTAAAACTTATGAGGAAAAAAAAGTATTTGAAAGCTTAGGGAGAAACTCCATAAAACCACCAATTTTGTTCATGTCAAACTGAAATTGTAGCAGCAAAGAGTACCAACAGGAAAACATCCAATGATAGAATCCAGGTTTTCATACCATTCTCAGTTTTCTGGCAGCCACAAACAACAAGCCAGTATGCTAATTATGAGTGTTGAACTACAGACTTATTGGCCTTAGTCACATGTCTCACAAGTTTAGGGAGATCCAGACAGAATCTATGAAAAGTCGCGCCTTTGACAGGTTTATTTGAACTTTTGCTTATTCCATTGCTATTCATTATCAAACTTTTCTCTTCTCAGCAGGGTATTTGGGATGCATGTATCCTAATATTGTTACAATATGGTCAGATAAGATAGAATTTCCATGGGGGATAAGAAAATGATAATAGTGAAGAAAAGGCTCTAATCTGGCAAGTTTTCAGAAGAAACTTAAAAATAGTATAACTTTTAGAAAGTTACAGTTCATTTGTAAATAGTACCTCGATGATAGAGAAATTTTCAATTACTCATCTAAAGGACTAAATAACTAGGATGCTTTGACTAAAAGACTGAGACCAAAAAGAGAAAGAAAAAGACTGTACCTATGAATGCAATAAAAAACTGTTAAGCAGATTCCAATATGAACACAATAAAAAAGAAAATTAACCAAACGCCACCATTGATTAGATAAAACATTGGAGCACAAGCAGCATCCAACACCTTAAACAAAGATCAAAGGAACTTTCTTGGACCAGCATGTTTTTCTTCCTGCTGGGTGACCCTCATCAGTCCTACACTTCATACTAAACATGTTTTACATAATGCTGCCAAAGACCTGACAGTATATAACACATGTGAGAACAGAAATTCAACAAATACTTAAGGCTCCGTAAATGGTTTGAGAGAGAAATGCAGATTACATGACAACCAATCAACAAAGATAACTTGAATTGGCATATCTTTTTCACTTAATAATCCAGATCTATAAACTGGAAACAAACCAAAAGTTTTTTTACCTCTATGAAAACCTTCAGCCTAAAAGAAATTTCTAAATCATGCACAAATTCAGATTCATGGAAGCAGAAGATCGTCAATGGAACGGGCAGCCATTTTAATAAATAACAACACCAAGCCATGAAACAAGATATTTTACACAATGCAGATGTAAGGTTCATGACATAACCACTCACTATCAGAGTGGAGAAGACAAAATACGAATTAGAACCCAATTTGCTCTTAAGGTATAGGAAACTTGAGAAAATTCTATGCAACACACATCCATTAGATACAAAATTATATATTAAATTTCATAATCCAACAGAAGCAATGAATGTAATTAATTTAAAATTACAAATAATTAATTACAAACAGAATAAGTAAAAATTTGGAAGAACATTTAACATTATGCACAACGAAATGATTTCATTTAAAGATAATAGTACAAATAAAGGTAAAAGGAAAAGAAAAAGAAAACTTACGTATTATGTACAATACAGTTTTCCAGTTGTACACCGACCGACTCAAATGGGGCATCCTTACTTTAGGATCACCATAGGTTATCTGTTTAGATTAAGTACAAGAATCTTAAATATGATGAACTTTCAGCATAAAGGACTTACAAGGAGAAAGGTTGGTTAGGTTATATTTTTACCAGCATATAGATCCCCCCAGGTTTAAGAAGCCTACAAGCAAATGAAGAAATCAGTTTCACAAATCAATTTACATTTACAAGAAAATAAAAAATACAAAAAGCAATAAATTAGCCACTTTGCAACACTAGCTATACATTGGTGACTTATTATAGTAACTGAATTATAGGTTTACAAAAGAGTGAAAAACCAAGTTCTAATGACAAAACAAGAACACCAAAACCAGAAACTAAGCTTGTAAGAGTCCAGACATCTATAACCTGCTAACTTCACCCAGCATCCTTGCAGCACTAACTGGAGCATCATTGCCGCACTGCAAATTAGAAACCAAAGAAAAAAAGAATTAAGTATGCAAGTGTTAGTAAATTGGAAGAAATCATTAGGAGATTAACCATACACATCCTACCATCAAAGAATCAAGAGTTCCTAGATTAAGGATCACCAGTCCATCAGAGCAGATTCAGCAACAACAGCAAAGCCTCATCAACACGTAAATCACTAATTCAAGATGAAAATAAGCAATCTTGTACAGAGAATAAAAGTGGTTAAGAGCCTTACCTTTATCAATAACACTCTGAAAAGATTCATCTGGGAAGAAGCTCATATCTCTAACATCCATTTGCATGTCTACCGAGGTTTTAAAAGGAAGCTTTAGTATATTGTACATAGTAACTCTGGAATACTCTTGAACTAATCCCACCAAAAAAGAAGAAAACAAAGAAAAGGACAGATTCTTAGGCAGATATTTATGAATGAAACATTTTCTCAAAGCATACATTTCAACTGAGGAATATATGCATGTTTCCTTCTCATCATGTCAATAGCTACTGAAGAAATGTCAATATTCGTTATATCCTCGTACCCATCCACCACCATGTCCTCCGACATAACTGGAAACAAAAAGCAACTTTACATTAAGCTTTATCCAAAAGTGCATACAAGGCAATTAGACAAGATTTGTTAAACCGGGAACCTTTCTAATTCAAGAAACCTCTCATTACCAAAATCAACTATTTATAACCCATTCGCCTTTTAAGGATGAAACTTCAATGCTCATAAACTAACAAATAGCAAAAAGTTCAGTTTTAACCCCAAAAAAATTCAAAAACCCATAAACCCACAAAAAACGTCAATCCACCCTTTTACTTTCCCAGACTTTTTTATCAACAAAACTGGAGCAACTCGGCGAAAAAACAATTAAAACATCAACACTTCCCAACGATAGCAACATAATTATGCAACTCTAATGCTCATAAACTACCAAATAGCAAAGTTCAGTTTTAACTCCAAAATCATTCAAAAACCCATAAACCCACAAAAGAAATCAATCCACATTTCCACATTTCCTACACATTTCCATCCACAAAACCGAGCAACTCGATGAAATAACAACTTAAACATCAAAATTCCCCAACAAAAGAAAATTAGAAACAACAGAACGAGATTCAAACACGTAAAGAATAAACTATAACTAATCAATTCGTTACAGGAGTCTACTGGAGTGAAGAATTTTCAGAGTAGCAGATACGAAATGATAAATTAATCAAGACTAAGAAAGAGAGGGAAGCGAATAATTACGGGCATTGCCACAGCCGACCATGAGAACACGAGATGAGGTGGGGATGTACTTCCGTATAAAGGGACGAAGAGCCGAGTAACGCTGATACCAATCGAAGGAACCTCCCTCCTGCACATAACGAGCGTCCCAGTAAAGAGCGTCGCCATAGTTGTAGGTATTACAGCTGGAAACATCTCTGTACATCTTCCCTCTGGTCTCGATTCCTCCAACTCGAGAAGAAGAAGAAGAAGAAGAAGAAGAAGAAGAAGCAGGCGAGGTGGGTTTGTGTGGTATAGGATGATTGTCGTTACTAGTGGGTTGGTTGAGGATTGAAGGTGCGGTAGGGTCTGCAACTGAACTGGGTTGGTTTGTTTGG